CACCTCGCAAGGTCGTTGTTTTAGGGAAAATAGGAGGAAGAAAGTGTGCTGGATATTTTTGCTGCCTTGGGTACTTTTGTAAAATCCATAAAGGAAGGATACAAATTAAATAAATCAGAAATATTACGTCAGGCCCATGTTATGCATTGTGCTCGTTGTTAGGACGATTCAAGGAACGGATTCTCTGACTGCTCCATTAGCTCAGGCACATCTGTTTCTTCACATCTGCCAGGGCTCCATTATAGGCGAGAGAAATTCATTTCGCCACCCTTCAACGCTTGTTCTGCCTCTTTCGCTTCAGCCCGGGAACGCCATCCAAATAGTTTTTATAAGATCTGACGGGTAAAAACATCTGTCACGCTAAAAAAACCCTGTACAGAATTGACAACGCAGCGGGGTGTTGTTTCAAAAGTTCTTTAAATCCTTCTGCCAGAAAGAAAGAAAGAAAGAAAGAAAGAAAGAAAGAAAGAAAGAAAGAAGGAGGAAGGGAGGGAGGGAGGGAGGAAGGAAGGAAGAAACGGTCACTAAATGGACTGTTGTAAGTTGAGGACTACTTATACCCCATCTTTTTGTCTTTCCTAACTGATCCACTTAAGAGATTGATAGTGGCCCTGGGTGGAGGGATGGGAGGGGAAAGGAGGGGAGGGAAACAAAGAAAGTAAAAGAAAGAAAGGAAGGAAGGAGGGAAGGAGGGAGGGAGAGAAGGAAGGAAGGAAAGAGAAAAGAAAGAAAGAAAGAAACAAGAAAGAATAAAGGAGAAAGAAGGAAGGAAAGAGAAAGATAAGAAAGAGAAAGAAAGAAAGAAAAAGAAAAAGGAAGAATGAATGATGGAGTGAGAGGGAAGGATGGAAGGAGAGAAAGAAAGGAAGGAAAGAATGAAGAAAGAGGGAAGGAAGGAAAGAAAAAAAGGAAAGAAAAAAAGAAAGAAAGGAAAGAGAAAGAAAGAAAAAGAAAAAGGGAGGAAGGGAGGGAAGGAAGGAAAGAAGGAAGAAAAGATAAAAAGAAAGAAAGAAGGAAAAAAGAAAGAAAGAAAGAAAAAAGAGAAAGAAAGGGAGGGAGGGAAGGAAGGAAGGAAGGAGAGAAAAAAAGGAAGGAAAGAAAGAAGGAAGGAAAGAAAGAAAGATGGAAAAAAGAAAAAGAAAAAAAAGAAGAAAGAAAGAAAGAGAAAGGAAGGAAGGGAAGGAAGGAAAGAAAGAAAAAGAAAGAAAGAAAGAAAGAAGGAAAAAAGAAAGAAAGAAAGGAAGAAAGAAAGAAAGAAAGAAAGAGAAAGGAAGGAAGGAAGGAAGGAAGGAAGGGGAAAGGGAAAAAAGTGAAAAAGAGCCGAGGTGGCGCAGCAGTTGGAGTGCAGTACTGCAGGCCACTTTAGCTGACTGTGTTCAGCAGGTCAGTGGTTCAAATCTCACCGGCTCAAGGTTGACTCAGCCTTCCATCCTTCCGGGGTAGGTAAAATGAGGACCCAGATTGTTGGGGGCAAGGTAAATATATACATTGCTTACTGGTGTACACCGTTTAGAGAGTGCTTGCACTTAAAGCGGTATATAAGTCTCATAAATAAATAAATAAATAAAATAAAGAAGAAAAAGTTAGCAACATTAGTTGGCTTTAAATAATAATAATAATAACCTGCATCTTTGTGAGTGCTAGATGCACGTTTTTCAGTCTTGGCCTTTTTAAGATGCGCAAAACGATGAATGTTGTGCTGCTGTAGCTGATCTTATGTCTTGGGAAGGCTCCTGCGGGGGTAAAACTCTGCTACTTCTTCTACGGCAGCTGTAGTAGCTTCCAGGTCTCGCGCCGTCAGCTGTTTTGTTCGTATCTCCGTGCACGTCTGGCTGATGTGGCTACTCCCAGACCCATGCTCCTTTTTCTCTCCCTACTGCGAGAGTGTGTGAGAAAGATCTTGGGAGAGCAGGCCAAGAGACGATGCTAAGAGAAGGGCCAGATAAGAGAGACCTGAGCCCTCGGCTGCATAATGGAGGGAGAAAGAGGCTCTTGCAGACGTTTCGTGACCTAAGCAGGTAATGTCATCAGGGCTAGAAGGAAGAGGGGTTTGTGTGGGGAGGAGGAGGAGGAGGACTGTGGGGTCCTGGGTGCTCTCTGAGCTGGGTGGTTTTGTTGCAGACCTTTCATGACCCAACTAGGGAACCTCATGAGTGCTAGAAGGGGGGGTTGGAGTGGAGGAGAGGGGGGAGGGGAGGAGGAGGAGGAGGAGGAAGATAATGGGATCTCTAGTGCTGTCTGAGCTTGGTTGGTTTGCAGATGATTTACAACCCAACTAGGTAACATCATCACTGTCAGAAGGGAGGGAAGGAGGGAGGAAGGAAAGAAGGAAGGAAGGAAGAAAGGAAAGAAGGGAGGAGGGAGAAAGGAAGGAAGGGAGGGAGGGAGGGAGGAGGGAAGGAAGGAAGGAAGGAGGGAGGGAGGAAGGAGGGAAGGAAGGAAGGAAAGAAGGAAGGGAAGGAAGGAAGGAGGGAGGGAGAAGAAGGAGGGAAGGAAGGAAAGAGGGAAGGAGTGAAGGAAGGAAGAAGGGAGGGAGGGAGGAGGGAAGGAAGGAAAGAAGGAAGGAAGGAAGGGAGGGAGGAGGGAGAAAGGAAGGAAGGGAGGGAGGAAGGAGGGAAGGAAGGAAGGAAGGAGGGAGGGAGGAAGGAGGGAAGGAAGGAAAGAAGGAAGGAGGGAAGGAAGGAAGGAAGGGAGGGAGGGAGGAAAGAGGGAAGGAAGGAAAGAAGGAAGGAAGGAGGGAGGAAGGAAGGAAGGAAGGAAGGAAAGAAGGAGGGAGGGAGGGAGGAAGGAATGCTGGGTGCAGATTTTGAAAGGATGGAGGAGAAGGAGTATTGTGTTACTCTCTGAGCGTCAACGCTGCAAATATTGTATATTCTTGCTTTTAACAGTATGCAGAACTATCTGGTATTTATGGGGTTAATACAGAGCAGAAGGGGGGGTGGGGGTAAAGCCCAGGAAAGAAAGAGGAAGGAAACCTTTGACCTTCACACTAATTGGATAATGTGAGATATGATGGGCTAATTTAGGGAGGGAACATGCTGATAATTTAACTGCTCAGAGGCAGAGAACTTAGATCCTAGCATCCCTCCGTTGTGCCTGTGCCGACATTTTGTAACAATAAAAGACTTTTAGGAAAATAAATGCCTGGAAGTTCTTTGGAAGGTTTCATTAGCCGGAACCACAACACTGAGCTTGAGTCTTTCCGTGTAGACCAGTGGTTCTCAACCTGTGGGTCGGGACCCCATTTGGGGTCGAACGACCATTTCACGGGGGTTGCCAAACAACGCAGTCTGCCATTTTCTTTCCCCCTTTTCCTTAGCTGTGCTACTCCCTTTTATTCTATTGGCTTTTGAAAGCCAATAGAATAGACTCTCTTGAATAGAGTCTAATTCTATTGGCTTTCAAAAGCCAATAGGAATTGTCCAGGCTGTCTCTGCCCTGCTGAGCCCGCCAAAAGTCCCGTTCTGCAAACGGTGCTGCACCCGTTGAGTAGTCCTCGACTTACGACTGGTTGAGTAGTCCTCGACTTACGACCGGTTGGGGGTCGCGGCATTAAAAAGGTTGAGAACCACTGGTGTAGACATTTCTCAACCCAACTAGGGCCATGCTCTCTACCTTGCTCTATCGTGCAGCTCCAATTCCCCTTCCCAAGATCTGGGGACCAGCCTTCCCATTTTCACCCACAAAAACTCAAGTCAATCCCCTGGAAAAACAAACCTCCCAATTTACAACCCTGTAGCCTTTATTTGCCGTAGAGTTGAGGCGACTAGATAGAGCTGAGCGTTTACCGGCTGGATGCCCTTCCTGACGCCTACGCAGAGTTCGCAGCAGACATTGTCCAAAACAGGCAATACATCCACCTTTCTGCTGACGTTGCCGCCTCGCCAGGAGACCGTCATTTCCCGACATCTCAGTGTCCTCGGCACCAGATGTCCATTACGGCGCGTGCTCACCTACAGCTGCTGTTCCTTGGTAACCGCACCCCGGTTGCCAGCAGCTGGGCAACTCCGGCAAAGCGAGGGGTGGTTTTTGTGTGTGTGTGTGTGTGTGTTTTGTTTTAATTAAGAAACATTTGGATGCAGCTGGTGGTGCCAGCAAATGGCTCGTTTCGAGAAATCAGCCAAGGCAGCGAATTGCATCGCTGCCTTTTAATGGGTGCTCGTGTTCGCTCCTTAATCTCACCATGCATGTAATACATTTCCGAGGATCGGCCTGCCAAGGCGTCTTAATTACTCCGGGGAGCAAGCGACGGCTGGACCGTGGGCAATAGATTTCACAGGATGTTTAAGATCCAGGCAGGCAAGATCATCGGGGTGGGGGTTGGGGGAGCTGTTCTTGGAGGAAATGTGGGAGCTACAGACCTCCCCAAAACTCCCCAAAACATGCGATCCATATTTGAACAGTTCCGTTTAAGAGCAAAATGAAGGCAGATTCAGGATAGAGCAGGGGTCTTCCAACTTGGCCCTTTTATGACTTGTGGACTTCAACTCCCAGAATCCCTCAGCCAGCGTGCCTGGCTGAGGAATTCTGGGAGTTGAAGTCCACAAGTCATAAAAAGGTCATAGTTCCCCCACGCTGGCTCAGGAATTCTGAGGGTTGAAGTCCACAAGTTATGAAGGGGCCATAGTTCCCTCATGCTGGCTCAGGAATTCTGGGAGTTGAAGTCCACAAATCATGAAAGGGCCATAGTTCCCCCATGCTGGCTCAGGAATTCTGGGAATTGAAGTCCACCAGTCATGAGGGGCCATAGTTCCCCCATGCTGGTTCAGGAATTCTGGGAGTTGAAGTCCACGAGTCATGAAGGGGGCCATAGTTCCTCCATGCTGGCTCAGGAATTCTGGGAGTTGAAGTCCACAAGTCCTAAAAGGGCTATAGTTCCCCTTGCTGGCTTAAACCTTTGGCTCCTGACAAATATCTGCAAGGCTGGGGATGATGAAATCGCTTTGGGGATTTGCATTCATAGGACAGTCTAACAAAAGCTCTATCTGTTTTATTTTCAGACCAGTGCAGTGTTGTGTGCGGGGGGCTGTGCCCTTTTGGCTTTCAGCGCCCTGCTGGCGGTCATCGTCCTTTTTCTTCCCAGCGGGCAGTGTGAGAGACGGTTCTGCACCCTGGCTGGGTACATTCAGACAGCGGCGGGTAAGTGGATCACAATCCTGGTTTGTTTGAGGGATCTCCGCTCTGTTCTAACTCTGATTTGTGTTTTTCAAACGTGGTCACTTTAAGAGGTATGGACTTCAGAATTCCCCATGCCAATTGATGCACACCCATCTTAAAGTATGCTGGCTGAGGAATTCTGGGAGTGGAAGTCCAGCCATCTTAAAAGATGCTAGCTCACTGTCAGAAGTTTTTCCTTAATTCCAGGTTGGTTCTCTCCTTGATTAGTTTCCATCCGTTGCTTTTTGTCCTGGTTCTTTGGAGAATAATTTGTGGCAGCCCCTCAGATACTGGAATACTGCAATCTTGTCATCCCTATTTCTTATTTTCTTTAGACTAGTCAAACCCAAGTCCTGCAGCTGTTCATAAGTAGATAGATAGATAGATAGATAGATAGATAGATAGATAGATAGATAGATAGATAGATAGATAGATAGATAGATAAATAGATAGAGTTGATAGATGATAGATAGATAGATAGATAGAGAGATTAGATAAATAGACAGATAGATGATAGATGATAGATAGAGATAGATATGATAGATATATATATATAGATAGGTGGGTGGGTGGACGGATGAATGGACGGAAGGATAGATGATAGATAGATAGATAGATAGATATAGTTGATAGATGATAGATATATAAGATATAGTTGATAGATGATAGATAGATAGATGATAGATAGATAGAGATATGATAGATATATAGATAGGTAGGTAGGTGGGTGGGTGGACGGACGGATGGACGGAAGGATAGATGATAGATAGATAGATAGATAGATAGATAGATAGATAGATAGATAGATAGATAGATATAGATAGATAGATATGGAGAGGGATTTGGATAGATGGATGATAGCTTGATATCAGTCTTTCTATGTTTCTGTATATGTATGTATCTTATTTCTGTATTCATCCATCCATCACTCTCCTTACTGTACCTCTCTCTCTCTCTCTCTCTCTGCATGTGTGTGTGTGTGTATGTATCGATGCATACATGCTTGTGTGTCCATTTGGAAGCAGGTCTTCGTTGCATAACATGGAGGCGAAACCTGGATGGAATAAACGGACGTCCACCAACTTTTGCTCAAAACTCGTTCGTTTGCTCAAAGGGCAATTTGCTACCGAGCTGTTCAATACTTTGTGTGATGGATTACGTGCCATCTAATTGTCTTTGACTCCTAACAACCCCAGAGACGGATAGATTTTTCTCCCCGTGGCTGTTCCGTTTTAAATAAACGATTATGTCAAGAAGAATGGACGCTTTTCAGGGCCATCGGTGGTGTGTGGCTGTGTCGGAAATGTCAAGAGGGTGAGCCCCACAGGGGCTGGACTAGAAGACCTCCAGGGTCCCTTCCAACTCTATTCCATTCCTAAGCCACCGTCTTGACTTTTTTGACCCCCCCCGGTAGTTATAATAATAATAAAGTTGGAAGGGACCTTGGAGGTCATCTAGTCCACCCCCTGCTCAGGCAGGAGACCCTATACCATTTCGGACAAACGGACGTCCGGTCTCTTCTTAAAAACTTCCAGTGTTGGAGCATTCAGCGCTTCTGGTGGCAAGGAGTTCCACTGGTTAATTGTTCTCACTGTCAGGAAGTTTCTCCTTAGTTCCTAGGTTGATCCTGATGGAATTGACAATACTGTAATATGGTAAATTTCAGAGCTTTGCGGCATATCTTCAAGGGGCATTTTAGATAATGGGATCGTCCTCAATGTACGGCCACAACTGAGCCCAAAATTTCAGTCACTAAGCAAGACAGTTGTTAAATGCATTTCGTTGCATTTTACCGTCTTCCTTGCCACAGTTGTTAAATGAATCACGGCAGTTTTTTAAATTAGTAACACGGTTATTTTAAGAGACCTACAGAGTTGCAGGTAGTCCTCAACTTACGACTGCGGTATCCGTGGCTTTGTGAGACAGTTGTTAAGTGAGTTTTGTCCCAGTTTATAACCTTCCTTGCCACTGTAGTTAATCCCTGCAGTTGTTAAGGTAGTCACACGGTTGTTAAGTGAATCTGGCTCCCCTATGGACTTGCTTGTCAGGAGGGTCCCAAAAGGTCATCCATCACGTGACCCCTGGGACGCTGCCACCGTCATAAATAGGAGTCTGTTGCCAAGCGTCTGAATTTTTTTTTTTTAAAATATGTTTTATTTATTTTTTAACATAATCACCTTAATATTTGGTAAACATCGTGTTGTCTGGGTTTATATTTGAAAAACAATCAATAACAATTAGTTTCTATAATTCTATAGTCCACCTAATAGCTTTGCTTGCTTTTCTCTTCTTCCAATAATATTCTCTTTTGCCAGCCTTGAATTAATACAATTCTATGTATATGTAGAGATGTGGGTCTATACATATGTTTTTCATAGTATGTTTAGGTGTGTGTCATGTATGTGTTTTACTTTGAGAGCGGACAACTAAATTTCATTTTTAATGTGTGCCGTTGTGCCCACAATATAAAAATGACAATAAAGGTTATCTTATCTTATCTATCTTATTATTTGGATAAATAGCAATTAAAGGTAGGTAGATAGGTAGATAGATGATAGATAGATAGATGATATAGATAGATAGATGATAGATAGATAATAGATGATAGATAGATAGATAATAAAAAGATAGCTAGCTAGCTAGCTAGATGATAGATGATAGATAGATAGATAGATAATAAAAAGATAGATAGCTAGCTAGCTAGATAGATAGAGATGATAGATGATAGAGAGGATAGATAGATAATAGATAGATGATAGATAGATAATAAAAAGATAGATAGATGATAGCTAGCTAGATGATAGAGAGGATAGATAGAGATAGCTAGCTAGATGATAGAGAGGATAGATAGAGATAACTAGCTAGCTAGCTAGCTAGATGCTAGATAGATAATAGATAGATGATAGATAGATAATAAAAAGATAGATAGATAGATAGATAGATAGATAGATGATAGATAGAGAGGATAGATAGATAGATAGATAGAGATAGCTAGCTAGCTAGATAGATAAATGAGAGATAGATAATAGATAAATAAAAAGATAGATGATAGGTAATAGATAGATGATAGATAGATAGTAAAAAGATAGATAGATAGATGATAGATAGATGATAGATAATAAAAAGATAGATAGATAGATAGATAGATAGATAGATAGATAGATAGATAGATAGATAGATAGATAGATAGACAGACAGACAGAGATGCTGGGACCGTCATAAATAGGAGTCAGTTGCCAAGCGTCTGTATTTTGTTTTGTTTTTTTGAAATATGTTTTATTGATTTTTTTTAACATAATCCCCTTAATATGTGGTAAACAGCATGATGTCTGGGTTTACATTTAAAAAACAATCAATAACAATTTGTTTCTATAATTCTATAGTCCACCTAACAGCTTTGCTTGCTTTTCTCTTCTTCCAATAATATTCTCTTTTGCCAGCCTTGAATTAATACAATTCTTATTATTGGGATAAATAACAATTAAATATGGACATTTTTCTACCATGTCTGCAAAGAATAACCACATCGATGTAAAGCTTCTTTTCTAACTGATCATCTCGATTGCCTTGTCATAGATCCTGTTTACGAAATTCTTATTTACATTTGTTTTCCCCACCATATTCAAAACATTCTTTCTGGTTAAGATTAAATTCTTATTTACATTTGTTTTCCCCACCTTATTCAAAACATTCTGACTGGTGAAGATTGTCTCAAAATGAATTACACTTAAGTATTTATGACTTTTTCCTTGCACAGGCCATCCCAACACTTTTACATGGCTCATAATCTTTAAAAAAAGAAAGAAAAAAAAAGAGAAGAAAAAGAAATAAGAAGCGTCTGAATTTTGATCACGTGACCACAGGGATCTACAACGTTGTTAAGTGTAAAAAACGGTCCTAAGTCTCCTTCTTCAGTACCGTTATAACTTTGAACGGTCACTAAACGAATTCTTGTAAATTCTTGTAAAAGGACTACCTCTACTGCTGTTGATTAAAAGAGGCCCCTAAGAATTAGGTGGAAACTAACCAAGGAGAGAAACAACCTAGAACTAAGGAGAAACTTCCTAACAGTGAGAACAATTAACCAGTGGAACTCCTTGCCTCCAGAAGCGGTGAATGCTCCAACACTGGGAGTTTTTAAGAAGAGACTGGACAGCCATTTATCCGAAATGGTATAGGGTTACCTGCCTGAGCATAGTAATCTGAGATGACCTCCAAGGTCCCTTCCAACTTTTTTATTATTATTATTATTAATAATAATAATAATAATCCAGGACCAACTCAAAAGCAGAAATATTGGACCCAGAGGGTGGCTGGGTTGGTAGGAAGATGTAAAATAGCTCATTAGCTCAATTAGGCCCATCTAATCGAGTCTCCTTTATCAATATCTCTCTCAGTTGCTGATCAATTTTCCATCCTGCAGAGAATTGATTCCACTTTGAAATGGGTCTTTTCTTGCAGCTAGTCCTCAACATACGACGGTAGTTTCCCCTTAACGATTGTGCAGGAAGTCCTCGGCTTACGATCGCAATTCAACCCAACATTTCTCTTGTTAAGTGAGACAGCGAGCTTTGCCCCATGTTACAATCTTTCTGGCCACAGTGGTTAAATGAATCGCCCCGATTATTAAATTAGTAGCACGGTTCTTAAGTGAATCACTGCAGTTATGAAATTAGTAGCCAGGTCGTTAAGCGAATCAGGCTCCCCCCATGGACTTTGCTTGGGATCACGTGACTCTGGGGTGTGGCAACCGTCGTAAACGCGAGTCAGTTGCCAAGTGTCCGAATTTTGATCACGTGACCGTGAGGAGGCTGCAACAGTCGCAAGGGTGAAAATGGCCGTTAAGTCCCTTTTTTTCAGCACCGTTGTAATTTTGAACTGTCGCTAAATGAACGGTTATAAGTTGAGGACTGCCTGTACATCCCACCATGTTTTTTGGTGTGGGGTGGATTGCTTTAGATCCGACACATCTCACTCAGCGC